GCCAGTGTGTGTGTGTGTGTGTGTTTAAGTGGCTGTGTGCCCCCACTTCATTAGAGGGGTCGTTTGGTGTTAGGGTTGTTTAGATAAGTTTGGTTTGTTTGTGTGCCGCGGGAGATGGTTGATCGTTTATGACGTGCGAGCCCCACAGGTCACCCCAACGCCGACTGGGCTTGGCAGGTTGTTCTGTGAAATTGGTGTGTCAGGGCCGATTTGAAGACGGACTTCACAGTTTTGTTTTGGTCGGAATATGATGTGAGAGAGCGAGGTTGAAGGGGGTGGAACACATTGTGAACCAGAATGACAAGCTTGTATTTTGGACTTTTGACAGTAGTTTTGTTATGGCCTATTAGACAGTATGTAGAAGGGTGAAACACACACACACACACACGCACGCACGCACAAACGCCAAAAGAAATCGCTGGTGTTTAATACGGCGAGAATCGACAAGGGTGGAGTGTGGTATCAAATATCGGGTGATAAGCGAGTGTTGATGTAAGTGTATCATTAGTGATGGATCTCCCACGAACACACTTTGACTGGTGCCGCTAGCCAGGGGGGGGGTGGGGGAGGGGGCTTCCATTAGCTTTTTAATTATCACTTATAAAAAGTAATTCAGATTGATAAGAAAATTTTAAATATCCCGCAAAATTATAGCCATCGTGAGAGAACTTTGCATGTTAGGATTATAACGAACTGGCAATGCTGGTTCAACATAATGTATTTACAGGATCGATTCATTCCCAAAATTTTTAAACTGGGATGGAAATGACCCCTTGTGGCTGTTGTTTTATCTAACTCCTATGTACAGTATATATCGACGGTGTGATTAGATTTACGAGTTTCTCTACAAAAAAATAGTGGACATTAAAATATCTCTGTTCATCAATTATAAATGATAAGAGAGAGAGAGAGAGAGAGAGAGAGAAGAGAGTCGTCACTGCACCTGGTTCGCCCCCCAGCTTTGTGACCAACATAACGTATTAAACTGTTTTGGGAATCACTGTATCACCTTTGGAAAAATATAGAATTCATACATAGGTTCTACCGTGACACACACACACACACACACACACACACACACACACACACACACACACACTGGGCTGCATGCATAACTTTGCCATTTGCAAATCATTACTGGTGGTCACTTGAGAATGTGTGTGCACGTCTGTGTGCGTGTGTTTGTGTTGCATGTACTGTATATATATATATATATATATATATATATATATATATATATATATATATATATATATATATATATATATATATATATATATATATATATATATATATATATATATATATATATATATATATATATATATATATATATATATATATATATATATATATATATATATATATATATTTTTTTTTTTTTTTTTTTTTAACCATTTTAAAAATTAATGTAATTGCACAATTCGTTCCTCCATAATCGTACTCATTTGTAATTCAATTTAGAACACTGGTGGAAGCTACTAACTCACCATTGAATAATTTAATTACGGCCAACACTTAGTGTGGCAGCTTTACGAACCTAATAGATAATTATTATTAAGTTATTAGATTACTAACTCAAATGTAACTACAAATTATACTGTTTGGTCAGTTTTATTTTAGCGGTAATTATTTAATGTCACCATTTTTTTTAAACAAATTGAAATTTTTTATATTTTCAGCAAAGAAAGTAATTTATGAAATAAACGAGTGTAAGTGATGCCTTTTATCTTGCCGCGGGAATAAACACGTTTGGCTGTGTGAGAGAATGCAGGTTTAAAACGTTTCAGAATAATCTAAGGATGAAATCGGTGGAGTATGTGATATGAGGAACATGTGTCCTAATTAAATATGTAAGAATTCATTGTGGACTGTTAGGTCCTTGACCACAGTATATACCAAGTTGACTCACTTATATTACATAGTTTCGCTTTATGTGAACACTGTGTTGTGTCTTACTCTGGAGTATGTTAGGCGGAGTGAGTAGGGGAAGTAATGCACCTTTGTGTCTCGGTCAGAACGTAGTAATAACTCTGCAATTTTTTTGTTTTAATGATTGTATATGTGTAAGTTTTGTTTTATTGTCTTCTATCTCCTCTTTTATTCTCCCTTTATCCTCCCCCTTCCTTTGTTTCTTTTCCCTTGCTCTCTCTCACTCTCCCCTGTCTATTATTCTCCATCAATTATGTGTAGCCGCCACACCCTTGTTCATTGGTTTCTCTGTGGTCTTTTCCTTTATCCAAACCACACATCTTCCCTTCTTTTATTTCACACTCCCTCTATTTGTATCTGTTCCTTGGTGGTAACTACGTACAGGTGGGTGTGTTGTGTGGGTGTCATGTAGGCGTCGCCAGCCAAAGGTTCCTTCGTTTACAGATGTCACTTTAGTATTTATGGCTGATCAGTCAGGGTACTCAGGTCCCACAAGGGTGCCCAGTAAGTTCTTCCTAGTACTATTCCTTACATCTCAGCAGGGCCGAAGCACCTTCAATTTCTGTCCTCATAATAGCCTCAATGAAATCTAAACTTAATTTCGCTTTAGTTATTACTCACACTTACGTTCTTTATTTCTCTCTTCCAGGTGAGTGTCACGGAGGTGGTGATGTGAAGGAACGTGTTATAAGGTTAGGACAGGTGAGGATAGTGAGCGTTATGTTGTACACACCTGACACTCACACTGTTCACCGTGTCACTGGTCATGTGGAACTTGGGTAGGCCATGTCTTGCTCGCCCCAACATGAGTGTTCTCATCTCCTACTTGCTTGACTAGGGTTATCCTCAATGACACCGAGAGTCACCCACTTCATCACTGAACACATCGGGGGTTTTATGGTGGTGACTCGGTGGTTGGTCAGTGTGTACGTCTACCCACTGAGGCACCCTCCTGGTCGTACTCAATGAGTGTGGTGGCACGACGCTCATGGTAGTGTTGATGGTGGTGGTCGCACCCAGCCGTGCCTTCACACGCCCAGAGTCGAGACCCCGTGTCCTGACTATCATTTAATTGGGCGTGTGGTGTTGTGGCACCGCCGCCTCCCGCACCAAGGAGGTCCTGGTTACTCTCTTCCATGTTGGCCACCACAGTTATGACGGCTCTGTGCCATGTTGGCCACCACAGTTATGACGGCACTGTGCCATGTTGGCCACCACAGTTATGACGGCTCTGTGCCATGTTGGCCACCACAGTTATGACGGCTCTGTGCCATGTTGGCCACCACAGTTATGACGGCACTGTGCCATGTTGGCCACCACAGTTATGACGGCACTGTGCCATGTTGGCCACCACAGTTATGACGGCACTGTGGCCACCACAGTTATGACGTCATTGTCACCACAGTTATGACGGCACTGTGCCATGTTGGCCACCACAGCTATGACGGCACTGTGCCATGTTGGCCACCACAGTTATGACGTCATTGTCATGTTGGCCACCACAGTTATGACGGCACTGTGCCATGTTGGCCACCACAGCTATGACGGCACTGTGCCATGTTGGCCACCACAGTTATGACGTCATTGTCATGTTGGCCACCACAGTTATGACGGCACCGTGCCATGTTCACTACACGTTCTGTTACGATGGTACTGTACTATAATAATCACCATTGCTTTGAGAACCACATTCTTAATTATGTCTCTTTCCTGTTTCTCTTAAATTTCCTTTCAAATAATGAACTAAAGCTGGCAGAGTGTGATACCACAACGCAAGATACACGGGCGAGGGTAAACAGGTCTGGTTTAAAGGACTGTATTATCACCCTAACAAATCACGTGGTGGTCGTGAGCACGGGGCAGAGTAGTAAGACCTTGACGCAGCGCAGTAATGGTGTTGGACGGGAGGCTGGTGCTGGGTGTCACCTCCCACCCACTCCCTCCTTACTCCTATAGCCCTTTACTGTCCCGGGAATCCTATAGCTTGTTACTGTTCTGCGGATCCTCGCTCCTTACTGTCCTGTCCTATGTTACTGTTCAGGTGTTTGTTTTTTCCTTCAGTTTTCTTCACCTTTCAAATAGATAGGTTCGATTTAATAGTCTGGTCAGGGTTATGTTACGCAAGCAGTTTTAAGTTCGATGCACGCGTTTGTCCACCTGAGTTTATTGTACTATATTAACATTCTTCATTCTCTTACCGTATCCTCGTCATCTCTTATTCCATTTCTTTTGTCTTCCTTTGTCCTTCCTCGTTCTTCTCCTCCTATGGTGCTCCTTTGCCGTAACTCTATTCCCTTTACATGCTCCCCTATTTCTCGTCTTTGTATTCCTTCTTATTCTCAAGTTATTACTACCTCCTCCTCCTCCTCCCCCTCCTTCCTGCCATCATCACCAATCATCTGAGCCCTCCTACTGTTAATATCTTCTCTACTAATATAAGCTTCATATCTCACTGAACTCTTCCCTAGTATTGTTTCAGTTAATTGGCTAAAGACCCTGTCGAGTGTGAAGAATAGCGAGCGGAGGACTTTGATTTACAAAAGGCATTCGAGCTTATCCTTAAGTTATAGGTTAGGTTACTTCAGCAAGCACACAACCTCTCTCTCTCTCTCTCTCTCTCTCTCTCTCTCTCTCTCTCTCTCTCTCTCTCTCTCTCTCACACACACACACACAGGGCCTGGTGGGTGTGAGACTCACAAGTTACCGTCATCATTTCCCGGCTTGTTGGTCCCCCGTGACCCAACCAGTCCGCGTCCTGAGTTTGTTGGGCATGTCTCTCCCGTCTGGCTGTGGCGGGTCCTGCTGTCTCCTCCCGTCTGGCTGTGGCGGGTGCTTGCTGTCTTCTCCCGTCTGGCTGTGGGGGGTCCTGCTGTCTCTCCGTCTGGCTGTGGCAGGTCCTGCTGTCTCCCGTCTGGCTGTGCTCTCCCCGTCTGGCTGTGGCGGGCTGTCTCCGTCTGGCTCCTCTCCCGTCTGGCTGTGGCGGGTCCTGCTGCTCTCCCGTCTGGCTGTGGCGGGTCCTGCTGTCTCTCTGGCTGTGTCTGGCTGTGGCGTCCTGCTGTCTCTCCTGTCTACGTCTCTCCCGTCTGGCTGTGGCGGGTCCTGCTGTCCTGCTGTCTCTCCTCCCGTCTGGCTGTGGCGGGTCCTGCTGTCTCTCCCGTCTGGCTGTGGCGGTCCTGCTGTCTCTCCCCGTCTGGCTGTGGCAGGTCTGCTGTCTCTCCGTCTGGCTGTGGCGGGTCCTGCTCTCTCCCGTCTGGCTGTGGGTCCTGCTGCTCTCCGTCTGGCTGTGGCGGGTCCTGCTGTCTCTCCGTCTGGCTGTGGCGGGTCCTGCTGTCTCCCGTCTGGCTGTGGCAGGTCCTGCTGTCTCCCGTCTGGCTGTGGCGGGTCCTGCTGTCTCTCCTGGCTGTGGCGGGTCCTGCTGTCTCCCGTCTGGCTGTGGCGGGTCCTGCTGTCTCTCCCTCTGGCCCTGTCTCTCCCGTCTGGCTGTGGCAGGTCCTGCTGTCTCCCGTCTGGCTGTGGCGGGTCTTGCTGTCTCTCCCGTCTGGCTGTGGCGGGTCCTGCTGTCTCTCCCGTCTGGCTGTGGCGGGTCTTGCTGTCTCTCCCGTCTGGCTGTGGCGGGTCCTGCTGTCTCTCCCGTCTGGCTGTGGCGGGTCCTGCTGTCTCTCCCCGTCTGGCTGTGGCAGGTCCTGCTGTCTCTCCCGTCTGGCTGTGGCGGGTCTGCTGTCTCTCCCGTCTGGCTGTGGCGGGTCCTGCTGTCTCTCCCGTCTGGCTGTGGCGGGTCCTGCTGTCTCTCCCGTCTGGCTGTGGCGGGTCCTGCTGTCTCTCCCGTCTGGCTGTGGCGGGTCCTGCTCTCTCCCGTCTGGCTGTGGCGGGTCCTGCTGTCTCTCCCGTCTGGCTGTGGCGGGTCCTGGGTCTGCTCCTGCTGTCTCTCCCGTCTGGCTGTGGCGGGTCTGCTGTCTCTCCCGTCTGGCGGGTCCTGCTGTTCCTCCGTCTGGCTGTGGCGGGTCCCTGCTGTGGCTCTCCCTGTCTCTGGCTGTGGCGGGTCCTGCTGGTCTGGCTGTGGCGGGTCTTGCTGTCTCTCCCGTCTGGCTGTGGCGGGTCCTGCTGTCTCTCGTCTGGCTGTGGCGGGTCTGCTGTCTCCTGTCTGGCTGTGGCAGGTCCTGCTGTCTCTCCCGTCTGGCTGTGGCGGGTCCTGCTGTCTCTCTCCCGTCTGGCTGTGGCGGGTCTTGCTGTCTCTCTCCTGTCTGGCTGTGGCGGGTCCTGTCTGGCTGGCGGTCCTGCTGTCTCTCCCTGTCTGGCTGTGGGTCCTGCTGTCTCCGTCTGGCTGTGGCGGGTCCTGCTGTCTCTCCCGTCTGGCAGGGGGTCCTGCTGTCTCTCCCGTCTGGCTGTGGCGGGTCCTGCTGTCTCTCCCGTCTGGCTGTGGCGGGTCCTGCTCTCCTCCCGTCTGGCTGTGGCAGGTCCTGCTGTCTCTCCCGTCTGGCTGTGGCGGGTCATGGCTGTGTCTGCTCTCCGTCTGGCTGTGGGGTCCTGCTGTCTCTCCCCGTCTGGCTGTGGCGGGTCCTGCTGTCTCTCCCGTCTGGCTGTGGCAGGTCCTGCTGTCTCTCCCGTCTGGCTGTGGCGGGTCCTGCTGTCTCTCCCGTCCTGGCTGTGGCGGGTCCTGCTGTCTCTCCTGTCTGGCTGTGGCGGGTCCTGCTGGTCTGGCTGTGGCGGGCTGTCCTGTCTGGCTGGCGGGTCCTGCTACTGTCCGTCCTGGCTGGGTCTGCTGCTGGTCTGGCTGTGGCGGGTCTTGCTATCTGGCTGTGGCAGGTCTGCTGTCTCTCCGTCTGGCTGTGGGTCCTGCTGCTGTCTGGCGGGTCCTGCTGTGAAGGTGATGCATCTCATCCTTATTGTTAATAAGTAATCGTTTATGACCATCACGTTCCCAGAGGTTAAGTCAAGTCAGAATAGGCTAGGCTAGGCTAGGCTAGGTTAGGTTAGGTTAGGCTAGGCTAGGTTAGGAACTTAGGATATGTTTAGGATGCGTTTGGTTAGGTTAGGTTAAGTTCATTTCGCCAGACCTATGACAAGATTAACTGCGCTAATGATCTGTCGAAATTGGTCATGGTGTGTTGGATGGGTGTAGAGGTGTCGTCTTTGGCGAGTTGTAAGTCGTGGGAGCTTATTTGGTAGACCTCCAAGCACCCTCCCACGCCTTGGCCCGGCACTGTGGTGGGCTGACCGCACAACATGACCCACCTTCATGCAATGTGACCCGGATGGTATTGGGCGCGACCTGGCGTGGCCCGCGACACAGACCAGGTCACGGCGGTCACTCGTTTGCGGTAATTGGGGTTGGTTAGCGGTCTGGGAACTATAGGGGAGGGTTTAGGGGTCGAGGGAGTGTGTATTGGTTTCTCTGACATGTCATGTGTCACGCGGGGTATTTCTCTTGTTTCACCCTTAACAGCGGTTGACCTGTAATTACCATCATCCTTCACTTGGTTATCAGGTGTATTTTTCACTCTGCTGTCAGTAGTACTTATTAGCTGTACTCGTCACCTGCCAATTGTTCATGCCAGTTGTCAATTGAAATCGTCAGCTATCAGTTGTACTTATCAGCCGTAAGTTGTACCTAGTAGCCGGCATTTGTACTTTGCAGCTGTCAGTTTTACTCTTCAACTGACGGAAGTACTTTGTAAGGTATCAGTTTTGCTAGACAGAAGTCAGCTGGACATATCAGCCGTCAGCCTTGCTTATCATCTGTTAGCTCTACTCGTCAGTCATTTGTATATATCATGTTTCAGTTATACTAATCAGCTGTCAGTCAAAAGCCAGTTATACTAGTTTATACCTGTCTTGGTTATACTAGTCGGGTGTCAGCTGTGAGTTACGTTCGTCAGCAGTCAGATATACTCCTCTGGTACATTAATATCCGTCAGGTGTCAATTATAAGTCTTCTGCTGTCAGGAATGTCAGCCAACTATCAGCTTCCTCTCAATATATTGTTCTCTTTGTTTCTAATCCTTTATCAGTTATTTCTGTATTTTGATTCGTCAGCTGTTGCTTGTATTGGGAATCACTTCTTTGTTTGTCAGCTGTCAGTTATAGTCGTATCAAGTGTTATGTATGACTATTAAGGCTGTCAGGTATTTGCCTTAACTGTCAGTTAAGTTATTTGATGCTCTTGGTAACTTGCCGAATGTCATTGTATTTTTTTTTTTTTATAGTTACCAGTAGTTACTTTCTGGCTGTCTGTGGTGACAACTGTTACTGACAGCTTGCCGTCTATCGTACCATTAGCCTTTGTAAATGTTAACTTGGTGGCTGTTTTCTTGGTGGCAGCTGTAACAGGTAACAGCTTGAATTGATAGTATTCTTGTTGTAACTAACTGGCTGTTTACTGCTGGCGGCTGTTACCTGTACTCTGGCTGTTACAATCAGTCTGTTGATAACTCGTCGGCTATCACTTAATATCGAAGGCTGTTACTCGATATCGAACGCTGTTACTCGTAATTTCCTGAGCTGTCATTTAATCAATAGGTGTTAATGCCGGTTACTTGATGTCAATATGTGTCGCGCCATTTAAATATGGATAGTCGTTATTAATAGATTATCAGCTTTTATTTGATAGAGACAGCTGTAACGAATAACTAGCCAGCTGTCACGAACCTCAACAACTGGTAGTAATAACATGTTGGCTGTCATATATTGGACCAGTTACAACGTAGGAACTCTTGCCTTCTCACCAGTCAAACGTAAGTCTTGTGTGGCGTTTGGTCATATTGCATGCGTCAGACTCGGTCGGTGGATCGCGCTGCACCATTAGTTGATAACCTAACCTAAGCTAACCTAACTTACTCGTCACTGGCCTGGTCATTATCTAACCTGGATCGAATTAGTAGTGTGAAAGGAAGGGTCGTTTATATTTGATTGGCATGGTCGTTGGATAATGCAAATGGGGGGAGGGGGGGGGATTGATTTGCCCCTGTCCATCCGTCCGTCCGTCCGTCCGTCCGTCCATCCATCTATCCATCCATCCGTCCGTCCGTCTTTTCTTCCGTTCAACATTGTTTTGTTAGCATCATTACGGAAATATTTGTGGTTTTCTCTATACGAGTCAGTGGATTACCATGATGTACACATTCACAACTATGCCTATTCTTATACTTACTGTAGTATTTATAGGTGTACGATTGTAGTATTTATAGGTGTACGATATATTGTTGAAAATAGAGAGAGAGAGAGAGAGAGAGAGAGAGAGTATGAATTAAAATTATTTTGGTTATAATTTTTCTCTTCTCTCCCACTTTATCAAATTTTTCTCCCTCTTTTGTTTTTTGTTTTTTCATGGGATTGCAATGTCGGTCTCCGGAATTGAGCATCAGGCGGCGTTGGTCGATGCCTAATGTGCTAAATCAAAACAGAACGCGCGGCTTGGTCCACTTAACTCCTCCCTCTCCAACACGGCGGTTTTTATCTCCCCTGGAATGACTGATGACCCTCCCCTGATATTGCCTCCGGTTATATCCCTCATCTCACATTATTGTTTGGCAAAATATTTCGTATCACGTGAGGAAGATTTAGTTTAAACCTCCCTAACACCCTCCGCCCCAGTTTATTTCACCTAACCTAACCCCAGCTTATTTCACCTAACCTAACCCCAGCTTATTTCACCTAACCTAACCCCAGCTTATTTAACCTAACCTAACCCCAGCTTATTTAACCTAACCTAAGCTTATTTCACCTAACCTAACCCCAGCTTATTTCGCCTAACCTAACGCTGTCTGGGAAGAGGTTAGGTTAGCGTGAGGGTGTTTGAATCATCAGGTGAATTAAGCTGGGGTGTCTAATCTTCAGGTAATCCAGTATTTGTTGTATTTTTGTTGCTGTTTATCTTAATCCTAAAGTGTAAGTTGAGTATTGGGAAAGATGATCGGGTCGTTGTCTCGCTAATTTGTTATAATTTGGTGGGTCATCACACATTCATTATCCTTCAGTGTTTAATGGCCTCGGCCTTATGTGCAGGGTAAGTTTATTAACATATCATGAAAAATAATTCTTTGAAGGTATATACGTGTGTGCGTGCATGGGTGAGTATTATGGAGGTGTGTGTGTGTCTGTGTGTGTGTGTGTGTGTGTGTGTGTGGTTCATATTTAAGTTAAGACAAAACAAAAGTACCGTATATATATATATATTAACAAACATCAGTGGGAACGCGGAGGAGGCTGTGGGTGTTGAAGAAGACTGACAAGTTTAAGGAATCCCTGTATTTCGGAGGAGACTGTGAGGTCGGAGAAGCTCGTAAATGCTGCACGAGACTGTCTGGGAAATTGGAGAGACTCGGGAAAGTTTCAAGAGATAGTGGGGAAGCGTTAAGGGGACTGTCGCCGCATGTTGGAATTATGTTGTGTGGAATTTGCAGAACTTTGGAAAATACTCTGTGGAAAAGTTCGGGTTTGGGGTGCGGGGGGGGGGGGGTAGATTATGTTGTTATAGGTGATAAGTCGTGTGGAATTGGTAATACGGGTGTTAGGTAATGGAAGAAGCTGCGGTACGGTGGAAGACAAGTGACATTCTAGGGAGGATGTTCATTGTTGGAGAACGTTCTTGAGAGACTCGAGAGAGACATTTAGAAATTGGATAATTCCGTGTGATGGAGTATAGAAGTAGTGGCAGGGGGAGCGGTAACAGTGACAGCAAGGGCGGTAATAGTTACAGCAGGGGCGGTAACAGTAACAGCAGGAGCGGTAACAGTAACAGCAGGAACGGTAACAGTGACAGCAGGAGCGGTAACAGTGACAGCAGGGACGGTAACAGCGACATCAGCGGTAACATTGACAGCAGGAGCGATAACAGTGAGGGGCGGTAACCAGTGACAGCAGGGACGGTAACAGTGGCATCAGGAACAGTAACAATAACAGCAGGGACGGTAACAGCGACATCAGCGGTAACAGTGACAGCAGGGCGGTAACAGTGACAGCAAGGACGGTAACAGTGGCATCAGGAGCAGTAACAATAACAGCAGGGACGGTAACAGCGACATCAGCGGTAACGGTGACAGCAGGAGCGATAACAGTGACAGCAGGGGCGGTAACAGTGACAGCAGAGACGGTAACAGTGGCATCAGGAGCAGTAACAATAACAGCAGGGACGGTAACAGCGACATCAGCGGTAACGGTGACAGCAGGAGCGATAACAGTGACAGCAGTGGCGGTAACAGTGACAGCAGGGGCGGTATCAGTGTTCGTTCATTTTCTACTCCATTTGAACATTTTTATGTTGGTGGGTACAGTAATAAGAACCATCTATTTCCCCTTAATTAACAAAACATTCCCGCTAATATATATATTGTTTGTTGTTCTACTGTTTAGTGAATTAGAATTTCGTTCACCTTTTACCCACCGACTTAGGACGTGTCTGTGTTGCGTGTTTTCTCATGCTTAACGTTTTAGATACTGGTGATATGTGGATATATTATGACGTGAGTTAAAAAGGCAAAAAATACCTCTGAAACTGATGTGATTTATGAATCCTGAAATTGACTTGGCTGTGAAGTAAATAAATCAACATTTTAGTATCATTTGTCATCATTGTGGGCCTGATGTGTGTTGAACTGGATGTGTAGTGCAAGTGATGTGTGTCTGGGTGTAGTGTAGGTTATGTATATCTGGGTTTAGTGTGTGTGTATGGGATTCAAGTTGTGTAGTGTAGGTTATGTGTGTGTGTGTGTGTGTGTGTGTGTGTATGTGTGATTCAAGATGTGTAATGTAGGTGATGTGTACCTGGGTGTAGTGTGTACTCGTATATGTGATTCGAGGCGAGGGTGAGTGCGTGAGTGAGATGAGGGTGGTTGGGTGAGTGAGTGAGATGAGGGTGGTTGGGTGAGTGAGTGAGGCGAGGGTGGATGAGTGAGAAAGGCGAGGGTGATGGTGGTCTTCAGTCAGCGAGGTCTTTGGTCAGGCGGCCGACCTGCCCTCCTGGTCCACACTCCTCTAATTTATAATACATTAGTGTCCGTACACACACACACACACACATACATACATACATACATACATACATACATACATACATACATACATACATACATATACTTAATGGTTACTAACATGTTTTATATATATAATGTTTGTAAATACTTGAAACTCGTATACTGTTATTTTAATACAGCCAGGGAGAAGGGATGATTATGGTGTGTTTGGTCATGGCTGTGTATTGAGGGAGGTGGAGGACTGCTTGTGTATCCTTAGTTATTTTATTTCAGTGTTTTATTTTTTATTTATTGTATTTATTATTATGATTAAATGGGCGTCAGTGAAAGTTGAATTTTCTTAATGCTGGCTTTTGTGTGTGTGTGTGTGTGTGTGTGTGTGCGCGTGCGTGCATTTGCTGATGTCTTCTTTATGTGTGCGTGTTTCTGTGAGCGTACATGTACTGGTGTTTGTGTGTGCGAGCTGGTGTCTGTGCTCTGTGTGTATATTTGAAGTTAATATGATTCTGAGCCAGGCACATACACAAATACACAGGTTCAGACACAAATAAACAGAGGCGGGGAGTGCCATGCACCATGCAGGCAGAGGACGGACCCAGAACAAGAGCCGTATATCCCAGAGGGGGCGAGGGATATAAATGATCCGTGGGCGTTACCGTGGTGCATGGGGCGACTCCCCTCACCTCCCCGCGGCTCACCGAGGGTCCTCCTCACCCTACCTCTCCTCAACACAACACACACTAATTAATATTACACCCTCCACCAAGGTTCACTCAACCAACCTCACCAAATTGGTGTAGTGTGTTGTGGACACCAGCAGTTCACCACACACCAGCTACACCAGTACAACAACCTGGCTACATCACTTTACACCTGCTGCCATGAACCTGTTCCCTCTATGTATACATCTGTAGGATTACCGTGCACGTGGGCTTATACTGGTGCTGTATAAGTGATTGTTACACACACACACACACACACACACACGCACAAATGTGTGTTCAGTATATGAATATGTGTGCGTGCGTGCGTGCGCATGATATTATTGATGTAAACCGGTTTAGCACAAGGTGGACTGGGAACACGTACTGCTATAGTTTTGCAGCCTGTCTGTACTGTATATATTGCGTAATTGTTTCTTATTGTTGCTGATAACAATTTGCCAGGCAAACAAAAACAGCTACATATTGAGAGCTTAATATTCTAAACAAATTATGCCATATTTACCTAAAACTGAACAATGATACTGGTGGCTGTTGCACATGTGAACACCTGCCGTTCTTCGTGTGATGCTCACAGCATGAAGGACCTGACCGGGAGGCAATGTGTAGGCTAAAGCTAAGCACACTTAAAAGTACAGGATGAACACAAATATAGTAATGATATATGCTCTTAATAGCCTAACTTGTCATTTTACACACACACACACACACACTATATATATATATATATATATATATATATATATATATATATATATATATATATATATATATATATATATATATATATATATATATATATATATATATATATATATATATTGTGTGTGTGTGTGTGTAAAATGACAAGTTAGGTTATTAAGAGCATATATCATTACCTTGTACTTGGTGTTCCCAGAGCCAGTGATACCAGTGTTGTCATTATATTTGGAAAACAAAACTCCGGGTTGGTAGGTGGAGGTTCCTTGGGTCGAGTTAGTGGTGTTAGCACGGACCGCCTTGATTGACGTCGGATCCTGTCATAGTTATCAGTGGTTGCATTATACAGTGTGGTCAGATTATAGGGTTGTTATCTCGGGGTCCCTGACAAGATTTCCCATTATCGAATTTCTGTGAAACCTGTAACTTGAAATAGGGATCCAGGAAATTCTCTTTTTCTACCTGGAACAACACACATCTCTAATTAGTTGCCGTAAGAATGGCATAGTAAAGGGTGTCTGTATGCTAAGCCTTCTCGTAGCTCTTGTTAAACTCTTGTTTCCTGACAAAACTTTTATAGACAGCAAGACTATGTTATCGATTTTTCCCTAATATTACCACAGCTTTCTAACGTGTAAGGCAGAAAATAAGGAACAAATCTTTACTGACAAATCATTCCACTTAATTCACCTACTGTTAATATTTGTTGTCTAGTTATTATTATTTTCTTATAGAATTCATTGGCTCTTTTGTTTGTTTGTTATTATTGGTTATGACCAGCTAGGAGGAATAACCCAGTTTATATCACCTGAAGATTAACCACCATAACGCTAACATTACCTAACTTAGCCCCCAGTTAGCGTGAGAGTGGTTAATCTTAAGGTGAAATACGTTATGAAATCTCCATGTGACGCATTTTGTTTAATTGTCATCTTATGCTAAAAACTTATTAATGTTTATATTTTCAATGTATCCAAATACATACTTTCATACATTAAACAAAAATCACCATTAAGTCACGACAGAATGATCTTCCTCAGCTGATCAAACTGGTATCAGTGATGTATTCTAAGGGAGCACCAGCCACCACGACTGTCCCCTTGTTTGTGTGAATGTTTTCATGTTTTTCCTGTTTGATTTACCTTTGTCGATATTGAATCTTATTTCTAGATTAAACAAATGAGTCGAGGTTACAGTTCGGTGAATGTTGTGGAACCTCTCTGATTGACGCAGTAGAATGTTAAGCATTAGAGTTGTGGTTTACAGGTAGCCGAGAATGCTGGTAATAAATATTGGTTACAGGTAGTTGAACAGAGAACTCGGATCACCTGTTTTATGATCTCTACCTCAAGTCAATAATCGTTGAAGCTGAAAGATTCTTCTGAGAGAGAGGGAGAGAAGAATTGGTCTTTGTAATTGTTATTGAGCTTTATCAACTTCCACTGTTGAAGGTCGTTAGTACATAGTCATTGTTTTTCGAGGTATTATTATTATTATTATTATTATTATTATTATTATTATTATTCCCGGTATTCAGTTTCTTCTTCACAAAGATTGTCTTGAAAATATCTGAGAAACAGCTTGACCAGTCTTAATGAAATATGTCAGATGATGCCTCTTACCGAGACGATGTGAAGGTCAAGTCCCAAGAGCAAAGATCAAGGTCACAGGAAGCTTAAATGCTAAAACACACATCACACACACACACACACACACACACACACACACACACACACACTTCTTTGACCGTGTTTTTGCTTGACTCGTTTTAGTCACCTTCTCTCTCTCTCTCTCTCTCTCTCTCTCTCTCTCTCTCTCTCTCTCTCTCTCTCTCTCTCTCTCTCTCTCTCTCTCTCTTTAGCTCCATTATTCTCATTATCTTTCTCTTCGTTCTCCAGTTCCGTGTTCTTGTTATCCATTCGTCTCTTCGTCCCACTATTCATTTTTTCTCCTCTTTCCTCGTCTCCTCCTCCTCCTCCTCGTTCTTCCTCCTTCCCATTCCCATGTGTTAGTACTCAGCTGGCGCGGGCCGTCACCTCCCTCCCGCTGGTTGGTGGTGGTGAGCAGGATCACCTCTCGCTTAACATAGTGATTGGCTCATTAACAAGATAAGCATTTCCCCGGGTGTGGCAGTAAGATGACAAACACGTGTATTTATCACACCCTAACACGTGTTCGTCGTTACCCCGCCACGCACGGCTGCTTCAAACCCCTCCCGCGCCCCCCACCCACTGCCACCACCCCAAACACGCCCCCACCACCCCAAACACGCCCCCACCACCACCACGAACGTTTCTTCCCGTACTTCTCCCATCTCCACGCCCACGCCTTCCCGCCTTCCACCACACACGCCTTCTCTTCGTCTTACACGTCACCAATATCACCTTCATACACGCCTCGTTTTACCATACCTACGTCCTGTGACATACACGCCTCCTTCACTAAGTCCATGTTCTCCTGTAACATAAACGCCTTCATTACCACGCCCACGTAACCTACCAAGTGCCCATTACCACGCCCACGTAACCTACCAAGTGTCCATTACCACGCCCACCCACTACCGTAACATACCGAGTTTCCATTACCACGCCCGTCGATTTTTTTTCCATTTCAACTGTGCTAGTTACCCCCCGCACCTTCTCTGGTTCTCGTCAAGGGAAATCATTAGTTATCCATTGTTCCTCATAACACTGCCGCAAACATTAACGGTATGTACAACAACAACGTCAACAATAACAACAGCAAAACATCAGCTGGCTCTTATCACCTGTAGTAAATGGTTGTTGTGATTGATGTACAGGTGTCAGGTTTGTATATTCAAGTTTCCATTGGCTTGATTCCTGAAGGATCATTTGAGGATTAGACACCCCAACCTCTTTCAGCTGTTATTATTAACCACCGTAACGCTAACCCAACCTAACTTGTGTCGAGCCTACAGTAACATAACCGAATTTAATTTGACTTAACCTAACCTAATTTCACGTTAATCTAACTTAAAACTTTAACCTATGCAATCTCACCTAACCCCTCAGGTCGCGTTTGGGAAGGTGTTCTTTAGACGAAATAAACAGGGTGTCTAATTTTCAGGTGATCCATGAGTTCTTAGTTTTGTCACAAATTGCTTCTCTGTGTTCACGCTGTGGGCTCAACTCCCCACAGTGAACATTTTTTTTTAACTTTAACACGTCAGTATAAGTGTTACACCTGTATGTTCGTAAATTAATTGAAGTGATGGCACTTTACACGTGTGTTCTTGGTCAAGTTGGTGACCCTACTCCCTCGACTCCGTGCGTGTAGCTGTCACCTCACACGACATGTTTCCTACTGTTATCCTTAAATACTAAAACGCCGGTAATCAGTGAGAACTGGCAGTGTGATTCTCAAATAACCCGTGTTGACTTTTCTTCTCACTTGAGGTGATTACATCAGTTATGGTAGAGTTTTAGTTCAAATTTGACGTATTTCTACCGCCACCTTTGTGTCATAGCTTGGATTAGATAACTATGTATTCAGTTAAAGGAATAACTAAAGTGTGACGTTTTGACAGTTCTGACTCAGAGTATGACAAATCCTTACCTAGACATTATGTTATGGAAAGACTAGAAGCAGTGCTTCAACTAAACAGTTTTGTTTTGATTGTTCGCTTATCCTATTACAGGGTAGTTATATTTCTAGACACAAATTTTTGTGGTTAAGAAAAAAAAAGGTGGCCCGTCATTGGACCAGGTGTGTAGAAGTGGCGGCACCTCCTGGGCTACAACAGTCTTCATTGGGCGGAATTTGTTAATCTTGTGTTAGTCATTCATTACAAGGATTTACGGCCTCGGGTTCATGTGTGAGAATCATGGGGTTGTTGTTGTATTATACACATGGCGTGCATCGACTATGTTATTAGGTGATGAGTGATAGTGGCGCATAAAGTGCTAATCCATTGTTTTATGAAGATGTATGTGTTCGCGGGAGTGAGGTGTGTGTGTGTTAGTATGTGAGTGCGCGTTTTTTATAATTTTGTTGCAGACAGCGGCTAGTTTATTGTGCACCCCATACTCACCCTGTGAGCGGTAGCGCAAAAAGGATGTCAGAGTAGAGGCCACAAAGGGTGCGTGTATAACAGACCCCAGTGGTCAGGATATTGTGACATTGAATGTTAGAGTATTTCCAGGACATTGTTTTAGTTGTGTACCGTACACAGGAGTTGACGTGTTCACACCTGCGTGAGGGGCATGCTGTCAGTGTGTGTGTGACAATATATGTCTGTTTGCACACTTTTTGTTTAGTTTTCACATTAACAAGAGGAGTATACTGCCAAAGGTATTTTTATCCTGACCGTAGTCATGATACAGTGGATTGTCTATTTTGACTATTGCCTGTTTTTACGTGTTTGCTTGTTTCAGGTCCATCAGCAAGTTCTTCTTGATTACAGTTTTAAGGGCTCCCTTTGACAGTCCTAGATTGCATTCAACGGTGTCTTTTTTATGCACGAGTTTGGCTGCTAAGTGTGTGTGTGTGTGAGAGAGAGAGTCTTCACCAACGCCGTGATTTTGTGCACTTGGCCTCGGTACATTTAACAATAAAGTTTATTGCAATTCCTTGTTTTATTGTCAGTATTAGTAGTGTCAGCATTAGTGGGTGAACATTTACTGTACTTTGATGTGAAACTAACTTTTGGTGCTCTGGCAGTCTGATGTTGGGTAATTTAAAGCCATTATGTTCTCTAAATTTTATATGATCTTTAGCACGCGAATTGTAACGGGATTATTTGTCGCCTCTGTGTGGGTGGGTGCGTGCGTGTGTATGCGTGTTTGTGTGTGTGTGTATGCGTGCGTATGTGTGTGTGTGTGTGTGTACAGAGGGTGGTGGGTGACTGGATGGTGTGGGGGCGGTGAACATCCGTAAATGTAGTGGTGAAGAAGGCGCTGGGCGGTGTAAGACTCCCGCGCCATTACGCCTGTCATGGGGCGACAACTACCGGGGTTTGGTTTCCCTTGGCTGTGTTCCGTCCTTGTTCCTCGCCACGTGCTGACGCCTGACCGTGTTCTGACGCTTCCTCTTATCATGCGAATATTCTTCTTTATGAGTTCACGCTCCGTTTGTTAACGTCTCCATATCTCCTCACTTTTCATGTGCTCATTCCTCCTGTACTTACTCTCTCTGTGTTGACGTTTCCCTGTTCTCCTCACTTCTCAGGTTCTCACGGCTCATTTTTAAGTCTTGAGTGCTTTCGCATGCGACGTCTAACGAGGGTCTGGATTCCTTACTGTATACTAACTTTTTCCAGTGCGTTGCTTTCTCGTTGCTTGCATTCTAACTTAACTGTTGACTGACTTCGGGGGACGTGTTGACAGACTCCATGTTACAGCACTGAATGAATTGTGTTGCTTTACAGTTGGAACAGTAACACAAGGTTCACTGGGGAGTTTACCGTAGAGGCTTGTGTGTTAGCAGGATCAATTCTTCTCGGTAATATTTCGGGTAAGACGGAGGCATTGTAAAAACTGCTGCGAGACGCCCCCAAACGAGTGTTGTGTTCACCCGTGTTGTTGATCGATTTGGTGCAAACATTTTAATCGCTGTGATACCTTACAAACTCTTACCTATTGATTGTGAAAAGTTTAATTGACAAGTTATACATTGTTATTATTAGGTACACTACAGTATGTTGAAATAGTTACACACTCATTCAATTAATTAACAGCAGACAACGTAGGCGTCGGGAAAAAAATAATAGTTTGATTTATAGTTGGGCGGTGAGGTGTGTATGTTAGTGGGTGGGTGCCCCGGGAAGGTCCACAAAGGAGCGCGTGACAGGGCGTAAGGGGCCGCCCCATTATGACTGTCAGGAGGGCGCGACTCAAGGCTTCGTGTTTCACTTCCCCCTCGTTACGCCCTGACTCACGGGACACTGACGATGTGCTGGCTGACGATCTTAGTTTGTGGTGGTGACGAGGCTCGCCTGAAAAAGGAAGCGACGATTTGCAGCCCATCTGGTGAACTGAGGCGCTGTAGGGACGACACTGCTGGAGCGTCCTCGTGATCCCTGTTTCAAGACTACGAAACTTGCGGTCATGTTATAGTGTGGATTTTACCCTCAACATCTGGTTTCAGTAGAATAAGATAGACAATTACATCTAATGACAGTTGTATCTCATCATAATTATGTATGTGTTGAAGTGTGTTAGTGGGGCTCTGGTGAAGTGAGAGATGGGCTAGGCAGTGCTTGGAGCCATAGCTTCTATCCCCATAACTGCCACAATCTCTGGAGTGCTCCTCACACAGGCCCACGGTAATGATATGTTAGTTCCTTATTTGTATTAAATCATGTATTTGATATTTTGTATTATACGGTGCCTTCAGTATTGACCTTGTTCTTAGCGAGAGAGTTTCAGCTCAACCTCTTCCCCCTGAGGTGAGAGTTAAAGGTGTAAAGATGTTGAGTGGGAGAGACAGAGGTTATAAGAGAGCAGAGGGGCCCCTGGGTGAGGTAGGAAGCGGTGTATATGGGAGGAACAAGGTGTAGGGGATTGTGACGGCAGGAGGGTACGAGGTGCCGGAGCCCTGCCCACTGATCTTCTGAGCCGCCCTAGTGCCTCGTAACTCCTGCCGGGGACCACCACCTTCACCAGACCCTCTGCTGCTGCTCCTCACGCCCATTGGTTCAGCCAGTCCTCGCTGTTGTGTATTGTACTAACTCTCGTTGTCAAGTACTCCAAGGGCGCTGTTGGTGTCGTTAATTGATTTTTCTTTCTTCTCGCTGTACTGACAATCTATTTTCATATTATTTTTCCCCGGGTTATATTATGCTGTTAGTCAGATAGTTGACCGTAACAGAAAGTATGTAAGTAAGTTAAAGTAAAACTAAAGAATTGAGATGTTGACACTTGAGTGTGTTTTAAAAGTAATGAGAGACAACGAAACAAGT